AAGAAGAGAGTCTCGATGATTTGGGAAAAATGAGAAAAAGTAAAATTCCTATTTTCTAGTTTTCTTTACGATTTGCGATATAAAAATCAATTTTTATTTTCAACATAAAAGTGAATCTTTATTTTCTTTTTTTATGTTTGAAGTTGTCAAGGTCAGCTCACAAACTGATGTTTGGGTTGAACGGTTTAGCAGTTGGACCATTTAGGTCAGTGGGTTGTTGACCAAATCATTGTTTTTTTATGAAATAGTGGGTTAAGTGATAATTGAAACTAGAAAGGTGACCAATTTCCAGTTTGAATGGTTCAACCTATGGGTCAGTAGCGTTTTGAAAACATTGACTCAATGTGACAATTTCTGTTACCTTAGTTCAACAATTCATAACAAGGGAGAGACTGATGAGGATGTCACCAAAAAATTAGGTCAAGGTAGGCAAAATGGAGCAATGCATCTAGACTTTTGTGTGATATGTAAATACCACTTAGATTAAAAGGGAAATTCTATAAATAGTTGAGGCCAAATATGTTGTATGGAGTAGACTCTTGCGCAATCAAGAACAATTATTAAAATATCGGTATTATGTATTGTATCGGATAAATCGATACGGATACACTTTGAAAACATATGGATACGAATGAAAAATATGGATATGCTAGGAAATACATACAAATTCTATAAACACATTAATAACACTAACTTTAAGGTTAAAATAGCCACAAATAGTGTATAAATACATTAGAAAATGTATACTTTAGTGGTACATATGAGGAAATATATTACAATTAATATAATAGATGCATAGAATCATACAATTTTATGACAATGCATCAAGAGTCCAAGACATGTATTTTGTTATTTTCTATTTAAGTCCAAAGCATAAAACTTACGCAACCATTATATTTTAATTATTAAATCAATTATTTTTTATTTACTATTTTTACTTTTTAACATTAACAAAAGATCAACTACATATTAAATTCTCAAATGTTTGGTAAATAACATTTTTATTTTTATAAACAATAAATGTGTTATCAAACATTCTAAAATTTCTAAGATACACATCATATGCAAATTTATAATTTTTAATTACTTAAATAATTATTCTATTATTAGTATTTTGATTTCTATAATTTTTTATAATTCAATCATTTTCTAATATAAATGTAGGTAAATGGATTTGATTGGTTCAATAATATTAAATTCTTGAATATTTTGTAAATAATAATTTTATTTTTGTAAATAATAAATATGTTATTTAATTTCAATTGAAATAATAATTTGTAATATAAAACTATATAAAAATTTTAAGATAAGTACAAATTTATAAATATTAAGCAATAAAATAATTATTCTATTATTAATATTTTTTGTATAAATTTATTGAGATTAAAAATCATTTTTTGATGTAAATGTGGATTTGATAGATTATCTATTCCATTAGTTTATAAAATACCAATTTTTGATTTTTTTTTTATTTTTAGTTGGAGTTATTGATTATAAACATAAGTTACTAGTTTGAATTGCATGTAAACACAAAAGTTAATAAAAACAATTATATTTTATTTCTTATCACAAAAGGTAAAGTGGCTTGGTGGTTAAGAAGTGTGTTTAAGATTTGTGGATAAAGCACATGGGGGTTTGAATTATGCTACTAGCTTTTTTTAATGAAAAGACACTAGATGCATTGGTATGGTATCGGTATCGATGTGTATTGGCCTGATATAATGCGATATGTACGTGCTGATATAGTCTTGTATCGGTTTGATACACATAATTCAATAGATACACCTAATATGGAGCATATCATATTGATATTTTAGTCCTTTGCCAAGCAATAACGTTCAAAAAATGGCTATGGCAAAAATGTAAATGCTAAGATGGATGAATACAAAAAAACTGGAAAGGATATGATTAAAAATGAAGCCATTTGTAGGAACCTAGGAGTAGCTTCAATATATAGGAGTGATAAAATAAGAGGGAATAGACTAAGATGATTTGGCCATGTGCATAGAAGACTCCAAACAGTTTCACTTAGAAGTGATTTGTTACAGGTGGAAGGGGCTAGAAGAGTATGAATAGACCAAAAGGGACTTGAGTTGTAAGAGAAATGATTTAAGGACTAATAATTTAACAATGGATATGGATTTAAGTAGAGTGGACTAGTAAAATAGAATTGATGTAGCCGACTTCGTATTGTTGGGATAAGGCAAGGATAATGATGATTAGCCTTGGTTTCATGCCATGACAATCATCACAAAATTTAGTGCATTTGTTGTCCCTCTAGCCACACACCCTCTCTCATCCTATCAAATCCCTTCTAGATTCATGACATCATGTTGAACAGAAAAGTAGTAAGCCTAGCAAGAAGACCTGCCACAACAAATAGTGAGTCTTGTATGGTGACTTGTTGGTTGCATGTCTCTCCTTTCCCCATGTAGGAGTCACTATGACTGCCACAAAGCCTTGATCAAGTGCCACATGATGGGATCACAAGGGAGTAGGGGTGGACTCGAGCCAAGCTGAATATCTGGTTATTCGAGTTAGGCTCGGTCATAAATTATTAGGCTCGAGCTCGAGCTTGAGCTCAGTTTGAACTAGCAACTCGAGCTCGAGCTCGAGCTCGGTTTGAGTCAAAAGCTCAAAAGTTTGAGCTCGGCTCGACTCGAATTTCACTGCCTTTGTTTGCATGTCTCCCTAGCAGCCAAGGTCTCTCTTAGTTGCCGAGGTCTCCCTTAATTGATAAGGTGCCGAGTCGAGGTTTCCCTTAGTTGTTGAGGTCCTGAGCTGAGGTCTCCCTTAGTTGCTGAGGTGCTGAGATGAGGTCTCCCTTAGTTGCCAAGGTGCCAAACTAAGGTCTCTCTTAGCAGCCGAGGTGTCGAGCCGAGGTCTCCTTCAATAGCCGAGCCAAGGTGAAACCTATGTAAATATACTCAACTAGGCTCGCGAGCCTCATGAGCCGACCTGTATTAAGCTTGAGCTCGGCTTGATTAGCAAACGAGCCCATATATTAGGCTCGAGTTTGGCTTAAAGCTCGGTTTAGACCAAGTCAAGCCGAGATTTTATGAGTCGAACTTGAACAGCTCGATTCGTGGCCACCCTACAAGGGAGGATAGGAAAGCCACACATTCTAGTATGTACTACTCTCCTTACATGATGCTAGTACATAGTGGTCTGCTTGGACACGTGTCCTCTCCTAAGGAAAGCTCAAGAACTTTCGCTCAAGTTGATGGAACATAGGAACATTATAGAAGTATTTGTGCCATGCATGTCTACATGGAAACCTTTGTCTAGAAATAAGAGACTTAGGTGGTGTTTGATAACACTTTTCAAACGTCTGAATCTGAAATATTTGCTTTTCAGATGCAATGCTTATTTGGTGTTGCATCTGAAATATGATTTAAAAAATTTTTTCAGATCTGAAATTTTAAGAATCAGGCCTGTCACTTAATGCGCTCAGACGCGTTTTAGACGTGGCCTTAAGTCAAAAATACCCCTACCCCATTCGACCTCTCTCTCTCTCTCTCTCCCCTTAAAGAGGGGAGCCCGATGTGGCCCAAGGTCCAATCCCTTGGATGCTCATGTTGTGTTGGGGTGGATGAGAGGCCCGGTTTGGACCGGCCCATGAGCCTGTTTTTTTTTCATTTTTTTACTAAGTAAAAATGACAGAAAATTAAAATAAAATTAACCAAAAAGACTTAACAAAAGGACAAGAAATTAAAAAGAAAAATATAAAAGTTTTATTTCATTTGAATCTAATATGTACAATTTATCATATATGAAGTAATGAAATTAAATTGAAAAAATTTACAAAAAGAATTGGAATAAAATAATATAATAAATTATTATAAATCATATTTGTACAGATATTAGGGAGAATGACGCTTCAGCCCAAGATCAGAATTTGTAGGCTCAAAGTACATTTGGGGTAGATGCCACATCAGAATTGATGCAAATTCACGGGCAGGTATAAGTGCATAGAATGTATGTTTTGGATCTTTTAAATATTTATAGCTCTGCAGTAAAAATCAGAAATCTGCATTGAAGCTGTACGTACTTCCCGTAGATATTATTAAATATATGTGCTGTGAGCTATGCAAGCCCAAGTCATTTTCCCGTGTCGTGCCGTATCTGTCTGTGGTCCTGGAATCTCTAAGCCCAATATGGCCTAAGGTTTTGGATCGTATCCAACACGACCTACTAGCTACAATAATCGGGACACGTCGGGCATGGTCCACATTACAGCTCTAAAAAAATAGATAATCATGACCTACGGCTATTATTTTGTTGTATTCCATTGTTTAGTAGTGATGTATTGCTTTCTATTATTGTCAATTTGCTAGCCAAAAAATTCAATGATCCTGACAAGCATATTCCTTTATAATCGTTAGTATTGTCAAATGGGATGATGCAAGCACGAGGAGTCGAGGAGGGGGCAGAAAATGTTTCCATAGACACAAATGAAATTTCAGTGAATCAAAAGGCATTCAGATACATCATGGAGAAAAATTACAGAAAGAGTATCCCTACTTCGAGACGGGATCTGCTCTTCACACTTGAGGAGCATATCCGATCTCTCCTACTTCCTATTTATGCACCTCGGAATGCTAAGACTTGTCAAAGTCCAGAAAGTCTTTAATTTGGTCGATAGGTGGATATGGACTTGTTGGGTCAATATAAAACTACAGCTGGTAACTGGGTCCCTAATTTAAGTAATTAATATTAGGAAAAATTTTTGATTCCTACCTTCTATTTTGATTCGAGTGACAATTTGGTCCAAACTTTAAAATGTGACAATCTAGTATCTGAACTTTTAATTTGCGACAATCCGATACCTAGCATTAATTCACTGTCGGTCGGCGCATAAAAAGACATAAATACCCATCTCACTATAATAACCTTTCTCTGCAAATAAAAACCACTGTTAACTATGTGCTCTCCCGGGTTCACCTTCTTCGTGCCACTCAGAAGCTCGGTTCCCACTTCTGTCCCCACGAACCTGTATATCAGATAAGTCCTGCATTTCTTAATTCTGTTGGGTATCGAGAAATCACCATTATTGAATTTCTCCTGTCCTTGGCTATCTCCTCTTCTAATCTCGCTTTAAATATGGAGTACCCGTTTTCAGTACTCTCTTCTTCTCTAGGCAATTGATTGAGCGCCTTCTCCACGAGGAACTCTCTCAATTGGAGGAGTAGAGCGTAGGATGGATTGGTGGGATCATCGAGGAAGGAGAACACAGGCAGGTATTCAATAACCTGCAAGAGCTCCTTCTTGCAGAAACGGGTTTCGAACAATGATCTGTCCTGAGCTGTGTATAGGGTCTTCCTCACAACTTGGTCAAGGATGTGTTTTACTACCTCCCTCATGTTCTCCTCCAAATATCGGAGATCAATCGCTTGGCAAAGTGCCACCATGTATGTTGTAGACCAGCTTTAAGATTTCTATTGCTTCAGCGCTTTGAACATGAGTGATGACGAGGTTTGCCAAGTATTGAAGCTCCGAGCAATATGCCGCAATGGCGATCTCCGCACCTTTGAACCCATAGTCCAGGCTCGGGTTGGATCTACCGCTCAAATTAGAAGGTGATCCAGTGTTGCAGTAATCACAGACAAGCTTGGAGAATTGAGCAAATATGAGCTTCCCAATCGCTGAGATGGCAATTCAGAGGTTATCCATTGAGACCCCACCAATTGGAGTTCCTTGGAAATTACCTCCGTGCAGAGCAATGTGACGAGCGACACGATCCCGGGCACTCCTACCTGTCCGCTAACTGACTCCTTGTTGGCGACGGACGGCACCTGAGAAGACGGAAAAGAAGGATTCCCAGGGATTTACCCGATGAGAATACTCCGATGCTTAAGTCAGAATGCAGGGGTAGGAGAAAAGAAGAATGCTAAAGCTAAGAGAGATTAGCTCGCGAGCAAAGATGTGTACAGTTTAGAGTATGAGAATGTTAAAGTGTTCCAAAGGGTGGCCGTTGCAACGTACTCCTTGTCTGGGTGAATGACACGTTTCTAAGGGGTAAGCATACCTCCACCAACTGAGAGACGTGGGCGCAGACTGTCGAAAGGACAGGGACTGCGCCGTTAGTTAAGGGAGTTGGCGCAGTCTGATCGGTACGGCCTGTCAGATAGAAGCTTCCTGAGAAACGCTCATGCTGTGCACTTGTGAATCACTTTGTAGCGAGCTCGGGAATACCTCAAGTTACCCTTAAAAGAATTGGTCCCCGGGATGACTTATCTGCTTGGGGGCCTGGGCGAGCTGGTTTCCCTATCTCGCGAGCTAAAGTTGCCTCAGAATATCCCCTTTGGGGTAGCTCGGGAACCCGGAGCTCGCATTGTGGCGAGCTCCTTCTTTAAGAGCTATGATGCGGTGAGCTGCTTTATGGGCTCATTACTTGGTCGTAATAGGCCACGAAGTTGAGTTGTTATCCGCACTGAGTCAGGTCCACATGTCAACGTTTTGTAGGTCGGGCCAAATCATCCTCCATCAATTTCCCCCCACTCCTTGGACTGAGAGCGTCGCCTTAGCGCGAGGAGTTCACGAAATAGGACGGACTGATTTGACCGAAATTCAAACTTGATTGACTACTCACATTAAATGCATTCACGGGAACGTGTTGAAGTGGCGCTTAACTCCGGATGTCATGTAGCCATCACTACCTTAACCATTGAAGATGTGCAGCCAATCGCTTTCGGTTTTCAGAAGGCATGCGGTCAGTACGCATGCGAGCCGTTGGATCTGCTTTAATCTGGGCCGTTGATTCAGAGGAGTGGGGGCAATAAATAGAAGGGCCCTCTAGGTCTCTTTTTCCCTCATGCCATCTTGTTGTCTTCGGATTCTGAGGTCGCGCATCTGTCAAGTCTACTCGAGTTCCTCAACTCACTTCACCCTGTCCCTTTCGGTGAGTCTTACTGTCAGTCATGTCTGGGTGCTCGTACCATACTCGTCATCGGGGTGGTGACCAGGACGATGATGCTCCCTCGAGCTCGGGGGGAGCTTGGGAGCAGGTCCCGGGGGCCCGGGAGACCTCCGATGGCGGAGCCTCTACTTCCCGGAGAAGGGAGCTCGATTCTTTCGGCCCTTCCTCCATGACAGAGGGGAGGCTTAGGTCTCTAATTAGTTATTTCTACCTTTCTAGGGACCTCCTCTACTGCCTTCCCACTGGTAACTTTCCGTGGGAGCATAGTTCCAATGAGATAGTCATTTACCAGGAGCAGCTCGAGGCTGGCTTGCGTCTTCCCCTGCACCCCTTGATAGTGGAGGTGCTAAACCACTTTAATGTCACCATCGATCAGCTTCATCCCAATGCCATTCGGAACATGGTTGGGACTATATCCTTGTGTTGGGAATACTGTCTTCCCTTGAATCTCGACATTTTTTCCACTATCCTTTGTATAAAGAATGCCACCCCCGGGGCTCCACCGGAGAGGCATCTCTGTTACTTCTCTCCCCACCGTGGCTACAAGCTCTTGCATGAGCTCCCGAAAAAGATTCTTGCTTGGAAGCGGGATTATTTTTTGGTCCGCAACCCTGAAGGGTGGCCCTTCCCTACTTCTTGGAGGGGTGCCATCCAGGACTCCGGGGTCGAGCTGGACCCCGATACTTAGAAAACGATGCTGTCCTGGGCATCAGTAGGCTTCCTCTATTCGGACTACTTGACCGAGGAGAAGCTCGTGCAGGCCGGCCTGAGCCCGGGTAGGTTGCATTTTTAGGTCACGTAGTACTTGTCATAACGTTGTGTTCATATACATATACTTTGTTCTTACCGAACTAACACTTTGTGGTTTCTTCTTGGCAGCCATCATGTTTGGTATCGATTCGTGCCGCCTCCTTTCAAGCAACCAGAGGCACAGAGAGAAGAGGTCACGCTCTGATCGGGCTCCCCCCTCGGGGGGCACCGAGTTTGGATCAGCCAAGCCGGTCTTATCCTCTCCGCCGCCTGAGGTTCCGCCACCTGAAATCCCGCCACCTCCCCCCGAAAGAGGAGCTAGTGGGGCTGGCTTCGAAGGGGGCGAGCTCCCACGGCAGGGGTGACTCCCCGTAATCCTCTCCAGCCATTCCCTTATCCGCGGTTCCCAATGGGGAACTGGGAGGGGGTGAATGATTATGTCGTGGCTCGACGGAAGAGCCGGAGGGAAATCTGTAATGACGAGGTCACCAAGTGGGGGGAAATGGAGCCCGAGGACCTCGCCGCATTTACCTCCTCCCACTGCATGGTGGTAAGTGATTCTTTCCTTTCTTCTCTCGTTTTGCTTCCTTTTGTTGTCCTCTGATCCTCTTTTTGTTTGGCAGGTGAATACCTCCATTCATGCTATGGCCCTCCAGACACGCATCCACCGTGGCAATGCCATTGACCAAAGGGCTACCAATCAGAAGCTCCAGGGCGAGCTCGACCGGACTCGGGGCGAGCTCCACCACACTCGCAAGGGGAGTGAATCTCAAGAGCTGCTCGTCTACAACCAGGAGGCACAGATCGCCAGGCTTTCTGAAGAGAGCGCGCATTACAGGGAGGAGTCGTCGAGGGTAGCGGTGAAGAGGGAACTCCTCTAGAAACAGGTGCGAGACTTGGAGTCTACTCTTTTGGATCAGACTCGAAATTTCGACCAGATGGTGGAGGCTGAGCGAGAGAAGGCAGTTTGGGATTTCAAGGACTCCCAGGAATATCACAACCTCCAGGTGGAATACGGCTCGAGTTCGTACCACTCTGGGTTTAAGCTCTGCCGGTGGTTGGTTCGGAAGAAATTCTCCGGACTCAACCTTGACGGCATCACTATGACGACGGACCAGGCAGAGGAAGAGGAGCCTGACTCTCCGGAGGACGAAGACGAGGAGGCGGATCCCTGAGGCTTTGGCGGTGTCTTTTTGGACTTCTGGTGGTTCCCGGGTGCCATAAACCCGATCTTGCAAAGATCTTTTGTTGGGCGGTTGTGCCCTTTGATTGTCAGACTTTCCTGAGCTATTTAGCTCGGTTATTGCCTTGTTATTTTTCTTTCTCTTTTTTTTTATGGTAATGAAATTTCTTCTTTTTGTTCCAAGTATGATGTGCTCTCTTTATTATTGCTAAGGCGATCTCAACACCCAAGCTATTAGAGCTATATACTCGAAGTAGGACTTCTCGATAGTTGTTATCTCGAACTGTCCCTTAATCATTTAAGGCATCTCTATGGTGCGCAGCAAAGTGATTACCATCTGTGCCCGAACCATACAATTGTCGGTTGTTCTTTAATTCAATCAACATACTGAAACGAACTATGATTGGTGTGGTCTAAACCCGAGCTGCTTACGCTTTTCATACTTTGCCTTCATCATCGGAATGGCTAAGTCTTTCTTGATGTCAAGGTGTTAGTTAGTTCGGTGTTTTAGCCCGTAAGCTGGGGGGTCTTATAGTCCGCCCTTGGAGTTTGCCCATGCCATGGAGGCGACTAGGTCTTATTACGCCGAGGTCACGTTAGCTCGGCATTTTTGGCCCTTAGGCTCTGGGAGTGACTCATAGTCCACTCTTGGAGTTCGCCCATGCCATGGAGGCAACTGGGTCTTATTACGCCGAGGTCACGTTAGCTCGGCATTTTTGAACCTTAGGCTCTGGGAGTGACTAATAGTCTGTTCAGTTGTTATAGGAAATACTGTCTTAAGTTGACAATATTCCATGCCCGAGGTACTTGTTTCCCTTCTAGGGTTTCGAGCTCGTATGTTCCTTCCCCGAGCACTCGTTTCACTCAGTAAGGTCCTTCCCAGTTGGACTCGAGCTTGCCAACGCCAGGCTCAGGTACTATAACTTTACGAAGGATCAGGTCACCGACGCGGAGGTTCCGCTTCTTGACCTTGGCGTTATAGTACTGAGCTACTCTTTGCTGGTAAGCTGCAGTCCTGATGTACGCGAGGTCCCTTACTTCGTTGAGTAGATCGAGGTTGGTACGTAGTTCATCTTCATTTGTCTTGTCATTATATGCTTCCAGTCGCAGCGTAGGCACTTCGATCTCTGCTGGGATAACTGCTTCGGTGCCGTAGGTGAGGTTGAAGGGAGTCTCTCCTGTGACAGTTTTCTTCGTGGTTCGGTAAGCCCATAGAACACTGGGTAGCTCGTCTTCCCACAATCCTTTAGCTCGGTCTAAACATGCCTTCAGTCCATGGAGGATGGCTCTGTTTGTGACTTCTGCTTGACCGTTTGCTTGAGGGTGTGCGACCTAAGTGAAATTCTGTCATATCCCCATATCTTGGCACCAGTTCTGGAATTTGATGTCCTCGAACTGCTTGCCATTGTTAGAAATTAGTACCTGAGGTAACCCGAAGCGGCACACAATGTTCTTCCAAAAGAAGTTTTGGACGTTCCAGGCTGTGATCGTTATAAGAGGTTCAACTTCTACTCACTTGGTGAAGTAATCCACTACTACTACTAAGAACTTCCTATGGC